AGCCCACTTGGCAGATGAAACCCACTCCCCACTGCCCATTACCCTCTACTGGAAATGGGGGAGTAAAGCAAAAAGTGGCACACAAAAAGCGGCAATAATAATAACAATAAACCAGAGCCAGTAATAGGAATAGAGTCCGTAGTCTGTAGTCTGTAGTCTGTTCGTCCGGAGACCAAGGACTCGCAGCCAAGTGCAAGCTGTTGCATAATGCCACTACTGTTTTACTACTGCCACCGACTCGCATTGGGCTAACTGGATGGATGGGATATTTGGACGGATGGCTAGGCTAGGCTAGGCCAACCAACCAACCAACCAACCCACCAGGCTCTTGGCTCTTAGCTCATGGCTCTTGGCAATTGCCAAGCGGATTTTCCGCTCCACAGAGCTTTCCCAACCAACCAACCAACCAGCCAGCAGCGCCAGAAAGAAGAAGTAGTCTTCTTTTGGGCCAAAGAAGCAGAAGGATAGACTGGGCTGCCCAAAACTATTACTATAAACTGAGAATGCTAAGTGAAAAACTGTGGAAATTTATGAAAACTACAACAAGTTGGACCAGCAACTCACTGAAGCGTTCACATTTTTAATCATAATAATATTTTAAACAATATAATTGCGAAACTAACAAAAGATGCAGTTTAGCTAGCAAATGACGATGCACAAATTGCCAATAATTCGGCTCTCTTTTGTGAAAATTGTGAAAATTTTGCAACTGATTGAATCGATTGTTAAATTGGATTATTCAACTATGAAAAGCTGCTGGAAGGAACAATATATATAAATATATATTTGTATATATAGAAAATCTGGTAAGAAAATCAATGTACTTATTCGCATTCTGTCTGTAATGAAAGAAAACTGTAATTGCTTTTCAGGGAAAACAAAAAGGAAGGAAAGTGCTTAAGGCTAAAGGCAAGTGATAAAATCTCCGAGTGAGTCTTAATTTTCCGTAATAATTATTACTCTAAAGGCATTTTAGGGAATTTTAAATGTTGTAGGTGGTTATTTACTGCAATAGCTTTGTTTTTAAACGTTTTTTTTTTTACGATTTTTGTGACTGAAAAAATGGAAGAAAAGTGTTTTCCTGTCATTGATTACAAACCTAGCCATTTACCTTCCACTTCAGGTTGATATACCTCGTAATTATCATAATCGTAATATAGCCAAGGATAACTCTTCGATCCTTCATAAGAAACAATACCTGAAAACATCTTCAAAGCAAACCCAAACACGTTCCTCTTTGGTTTCTAAATCAACAAGTACCCCCACAGCCCAGAAGTATGCAACTCTCGTTTGACCCGAACATGCTACGTTCACAACATACAACAGCAACAGGGTTCGCTCTGTGGCTGTCCTAAGGCTGGCAATGCAACATGTTCGATGTCCACAGAGACAGACAGAGAGAGTCCACACTTTGTGGATGGAATGTTAAGGAAAATAGTTCGTTTCTTTTGGGGGTTTTTCGTTTTGCATTAAATCTTTATTTAATTCTTTTTGCGCTTTTCTTGTTTTTCTAGGCCAAGTATACTTCTTCTTCTTCTTGTTTCTTGTTTTTGTTTTTTGTTGTTGTTTTAGCCAAGTTCCACTTTTCGACTTAAAACATTTTCTCTGTGGTAATAATAATTAATACATATGCATAACGTTACTTACAGTTTTTGCTTAAATTAGGTATAATTAATAATTAATTAATTTATTAATAATAATCATAATAAGGTGTAAACTCCTCTCGTTTTAAATGCCCCGTTGTTGTTGGTATCGGTTATCGCGTTATCGCGTTATCGTTATCGTATCGGTTGTTCTATATAGTTCTGTGCTGCGTTCGTTTTTCTTCTTTTCTTTCATATTTAGTTTTTATAAAATATCACATTTTAAGCTTTTTTTTTTTTTTGTTTGTGGAAAAACCAAAGTTTCGAACGGAAAATTCACCGGCAAAGCAAAATCGGGCAATGGCAGAAGCAATATAGTTTGTATATATATATATATATATATAAATCTAGCGACGAGACCCAAAAAAGAACGCCAGCACTTTTGATCGAAAGGATGATCGCTGTTTGTGTTTGGGTTTGGGATCTTTATCCCTCCCTCCCCATATATATATATTCGTTATACATATATACTTGCTTGTGGTTTGCTAAAACTTTGCTTTATTTTCTTTTTACGATTTATCCAATATTTAATGCGCCTTTTTTCTGCGTTTAGTTCGCTTTTTTTTGTTTGTTTTTTAAATATTTTATTTAGACATTTAAAAGTCTGCAAAGTGCAGCTTGGGAATTTAAAATTGTAATTTCATCTTTTTTGTATGTTTTTTTCTTTTTGGTTTTTCTTTTTTTTTGTATATGCCTATCATGTCTGTCGGTGTGTGTTTTGAGTTTCTCTTTCTTTAGTTTTCTCTTATTGCGTTTGTGTGTGTGTGGTGGTGTGTGCTTGGTGGAAAGTCAATTTGATTTTCCATAGTTGCTACATCTTGATTCTAGAATTTTCCCTATAGTGCTGCGTCTCCTTTTCATCTTTGTTTGCTTCTAATTGTGGACAGAAAGTGGACAGGACTTGGAAAATGTACAGAAAACACTCGAAAGCCGCAGCCAGAATGAAGATTTTAGGATGTTTTTTGTAATAAAATTTAGATAGAACTCTTTCTAATCCATTAAAACCAACCAGAAATCTGAACTTCCTAAAAACCCTGAAAAGTATGCTTTAGCAATGATTTCACTTCAGCTGACTTTCAAACACCTTTTCTCAAGTATCGACTAATAAAGATTTTAGGATGTCTTTCTGTATAGTGTATATATAAATTCAAATTAGTTTCAATTTAGAAGATTTAGATAAAACCAACTCTAATCCTTTAAAACCAACCAGAAATCTGAACTTCAATAGAAACTACCTGAAAGCCCTTAAAAGTATGCTACCCCTCTTCAACTTACTCTCAAACACCTTTCCTAGCATCGCCTAAGGAATTTGTGAAAAATATCAACTGAAAAAACTATTATTGCTCAGAGGTTTCGTCACATGGCTCTAACATATCAACACATCCTTTAGTCCTTTTGTTTCAAGGAATTCATTTCTGGCCGAGGCTTGAGGTCTTGCAGTTGGCATTTTAACAGCTCTTTTACCTCATTGTCCAGAGAAAAGTTGAGCTGAGTTGAGTTGTGAGTTGCGTTTGAGGAGTCGGTGGAAAATGGACCTTTGTTTTTGGCTGGGTGAAAGTTTTTGAAATGGAAATGAAATTCTTTACAATGTTACTCTATAGCTAGTGCCTGCTGTGTGAGTGTGTAGGGTAGTGGGGGTAGTGGTTTTAATGGGTGTATCAGTGTGTATAGAAGGAGAGGTGTGTACATTTACCATTTATCATTTAGTATACACATAGGTATAAGGGGGGTATGGGCTTATATATGCATTTGCTTAAGACACATTTTTCAATAAGTAAGTGGAACAACTCGCCAACTACATGCACATAAATTACAGATTTACTTTTCTGGCTTTTCTTTTTTCCCATTTTTGTTTTTCTTCTTTTCGTTTTTAAATGCTTTCGATTTGGTTTTTTTTCAACGCATTTTTTCTCATTTTTTGCGATACTCAAAAAGTTCTTGATAGGCTTTGACAAATATATTTTGTGGGTTTTTCTTATGTTCTCGCCTCATTTTTCTTCTGTTTTCCTTTTCCTTTTTTTTTTTTTTTGTGCATCAATTAAATTGTTTATGTGTCCAAATTTATTTACAATTTGTTTAACACTCAGAGCTTAAGTTACCAAAAAAAAAAAAACACTTTTTATTAAATATTCTTTTCTGGTTTTTCGTTTTATTAATATTAATATTTCGTATAGTTATAATCCACAATCTTTAATCTATGTACAAGCATTGCTAGTTTATAAATAATAAAAAAAAATCGTATATATTTAGATTTATATATATATCTTTATATATATATATATAATATTTAATGATCATGTTTTGCTTTATGCGTAGACAACATGGTGGTGCAATCTTCTAGATCTAGTCTCCACGTCTCCACGTTCTTCCACAAAAAAAAATTATCTCCCCTCTCGGGTATTTCTAGTCGGGATGCACTAAAAAAAAATTCGCTTTAACATAGTTCGTATGTACATGAATAATTATATATATTTAGATATATATTGTATGCAAGTGTGTGTGTGTGGTTGTGGTTGTGGGTGTGTGTGTTGGGTGAGTGCTCGGGGGTTACATATATTCTATATAGACATATGCCTAACATACAGTTTATATATATATATATTATTTTATATAGCGGTGCCAGATCTGCCAGATATTGGTTAATAATACATATATTTTGAATATATATATATATCTATCAATTCTGTGCTTAGTAACGATTAGTTTAAAAATGTTTTCATCGGCCGCCGGGGGAAAAAAAATCTTCGATATACATCTATTCAACATGCGCAATTCGTTCATCGGTTTCTATCGGGTTTATCGTTTATCGTTTATCCTTCATTCTCTGCCAGGGGGATTCTTCCTTTTCCTCATTCCTCGTTTTTGTTTCCTATTTCATGCTTTTCTTTTTTTTTTAGTTACTTTGTTGTAGGTACCTTGCGTTTCGCTATAAAGTGATTCCGTATCCGTATCGGTATCCCCCCTTCCTACCTCCTCTTTCCCTTACAACATATCCGCTATGGAGCCATAGTGCTGCTCCTGGCATATCGGACGACAGCACTCCTCAACGGCGTCGTACTTGTAGTGGCGCCGTCTCCTGTTCATCTGACTCCTCTGGTAGTAACTTCTTCCTGGCTCCAACTCTATTTCCTCCTCCTGCTCCTGCTCCTCCTCCTCGTCTTCTTCCTCCTCCTCTTCCTCCTCCTCCTCTTTATCCTTCCTTATGTAACTGCCCATCCCCCCCTGATCGCAGATATCCAATTCAAAGGGATTCAAACGATCCTGGGCTAGGGAGTAGCGTTTCTGGGGCGGCTGCAGTGATGATGTGGACGATGACGTTGACGCTGATGACGTCAGCTGCTTATGCTGATGATGACGACGGCTACTATAGTTACCATAGCTGCTGCCGCTATTGGGTTGATGGTAATAATGGATGGCATGGCATGAGGCAGTCTTTGTATTGTATTCCTGAAAGGAAGAGGCGAGAATTTAAGGTTAATTTTGGGTATAGTTTAGTTTATATAACAAAAGTTAGTTTCTAAACGCAATCGTTTCACTTTTAAAATGGAAAATCCTGCGTTTTGAGTAAATGAAAATGCTGGAAACTATATGGAAAACGCCAAATCAAAGTCATTCTGGTGTAAAATTAGTTTTTGCCTGTACGGGGGGGAGGGGGGCGTTCGATTTAAATGACTTTCATATTTCGTTATTGGCTTTTAGTTTGAGTTCCAATGTGTTTATTTTCTGTGTCGAGATATATATATATATATATATTTTCCAGTTTATATTTTGCGTATTTTTTTTCCATTTCATGTCATTTATTCAGCTGCTCTTTTGGTTTTTGGGAAATTCAAAGCGAATCGAAACCTTAACCGATTGAACTGCCTGCGATGCCGTAGAAGTTCAACAAGTTCGGGCTTTTTGGTCAAGTCAAGTGAGGAGATTCCAGCAATTGACTTTTGGCAGCTTCTTCTTTTATCCACTTCCGCTCCTGCTACTGCTACTGCTCCTGATCCTGCTCCCTCTTCCCCTCTACTCTCTCTCTCTATAGATATATTCACTTCCCTTTCGGTCGACTTTTCCTGAACTAAACTGAATATTGTCTGCGCTAAAATTTGTTGCCACAATTTGTGCAACAAATTTTGTGCTTCAGCTTTTGCTTTTGGCTTTTGGCGCACTGCCTCGACATCTGTGGCCAAGTGTGTGTGTGTGTATAGAGTGTGTGTGTAAATAACCAACATAATGGCAGAAAGGTCGCATTCTCATAAAGTTGGCGCTGACTTTCAGGGGTATCCTGGTGTACTGCCTCCTTTCCTCCTCCTCCTCCTCTTCTCTCCTCTCTGTAGACCTTCCTGTGCCCCGCATATTATCAATAAATTGCATCTGACTGCCAAGCAGACAACAAAACGGTAGCCCTATCTGGCTAACCCCCCCCTTTCCCACCCACCGCATTTGACAACCAAAACACCCAACCACCCACCCACCTGACTAACCCGTTATTAAGCGAGGGCTAAAGGTACTGAGGGAAAAATGAGTGAAAGAAATATTCTAAATTATTTGAAATTTAAATTTAATTTTTGGAATATTTATACCTTATTTTGGGATATTTCAAAAATTGAATTTATAAATTTTTCAAAATTTATTTCTATTTCCTGCCCCCCTTTTCCTCTCAGTGCCTCTCTGTAATATGGGCTTGGACCCTGGCCACACCGCACCTTGTTCTAATTTATTTATTGTTGCATGCATGTGCTTTTATTGGGCGTTCTCCAAAAGGTGGAGGTGGTGGAAGGTAGAAGGTAGTATCCTCCCACCCTGCCAGATTCCAACCGCAATATCGGAGGAAGACCTCTGGCGGCTGGACTGGACTGGACTCCGGCTGAGGGGACTTTAACAATTATGTTTTGCCGGGTTGTTCGGTCAAAGTCAACAATTTGATGCACTTGTCGCTGGGTGTTGGCCTGGCCATTTGGTGCCAAAGTTATTAAGCACTTTTTGGATGGCCATGGCTAACAGCAACAGCAGCAACAACAACTAGGTTGTGGAAGTTAAACCAGGCTAAGAGAGAGAGAGGCCACTCCTGACTTCCCCCCTCAAAAGCTGGACTGAGTTTTAAAATCGGCTTAAGCAGGCAAATGTATTTCGAATAATCCACACATCCTGTGCATATCCAGGACCTTGCCGCCTACCTACTAGCCGCAACCTCCTCCTTGCCACCTTTCACCGTAACTCTCTTTCTCCCTAGCACCCACCTTTCCCTTTCAACGTTTTTGTTTCAAGTTTATTGATGCCGACGTGGGTGTGTTTCATGCCTCAGCAGAGAAGAGATGAGGTCAAAATATGGGAAAGTTTGGGTTGATGGGGGGTGGTAAATGGGGTGCAGACTCGTCTGCAACGTGACAAAACCCATTATAGATGCGACCGCAAAGATAACACTCGCTTTTCGGTCCAGACTCGACTTCTGATGGATGCCCAAACACAAGTGTCAAGCCGTAGGGGGTTTGGGGTTGGGGCTTGGGCGGCTTTTTGGGGGGCGGTTTATGAGTGAGGGTAAAGGTGAAGGAGTTAACAGAGATGCTGCTACCTTTTAGATTATAAATTTAACTGAAGATCATCTTTAATGTTAGTTTAACTTAATAAATAGATTATTTTAAACTTAAAATTCGGATTTAAAACTCTTTTTTAAGTCAGTTTTTTGTCAGATATCCCCTTAAAAACCTTATAAAAAACCCATAAAATCTCAAATTTAAAAACAATTTTGTAGTTAAAAATCCCCTTAAAAAACTGCCAATACATCCTACCATCACTCTTATTGGCCAAAAGCGGCGAACAAGGCGTCGCTTCAAAGTTTCCATAAATTTCATTTTGTAACCATCAAAAAGTTAAGTCAACGATAAATTGAATGGCTGCATGATTGACTGAATGAATGAATGAGAGGCTGTGCTCTGTTGCTGCTACAGGGTGTTGCAAGTGGGTGGTTTGTTTTTCGTTTTTGGTAGGGGGGGAGGCAAGCTGCGGCTGTCAGTTGCTTGTCGGTCATTGTGTGGCTCGTTGCGTTTCGGCCAGACATCAAAATCCACAAGCGGGTAAAAAAAAATCAAAATGAAAAAGTTAAAGGGGAAAGGAAAAAAAAAATGGAAAAATATGAGAGTGCCAAAGAGATAAATGGAGTAAGGGAGACAAAAAATGCCTACAATTCTCGTGGCAGGAAAAAATAGAAACAGCAAAGGGTAAAAAAGATAAGTTAAGCCCAAAACAGGTTGGGAATTTTAAGGTATTTCTGGGAATTCAACTTAATATTCACGATTAAGCTTATTATTTAACGGAAAATTAACTAAAAAATTCGTGTTTTATCTAACGGCATATTAAAAAAACTATAATATTTATTAGGCAACTGTTTAATTACCTAAAACAACGTTAAATAAAACCCAAATGTCAAGTATAAATTTCCAGCCTTAAACAGGCAATTAAATCAAATTATAGCGCGGTTTTTTGGGCTTGCGAAAAAACAAGAAGTAAAATTTATATAAATTATAATAATTAAATTAACTATTAAAATTGAAATGGAAAAACCACAACTATTAAATCGACCGCAGCTGTATGGCCGGCCATATGTATGCGTAAAAAAGCGTCAATATAAATATAAAGCAGGCGACAACAACAATGCCAAAAAGTCAAAAGCCGTCAAAAAGCATCATTGAACCAAAAGGGGGGCGTGGCAGAGGCAGATGTAGAGGTGAAAGCCAACACTTTCCATAAAGCGTTTGTCTCTGCATCATCATCATCATCATGGGCGTCGCCTGCTTTTGGCCAAAGGCGTGGCACCGACATGTGACATGTGTGTGTGTGTGTGTGTGCGTGCTGTTGCCCTCCTCAAAAATGTCATGGCAACACCCTGTTTGCTCCCTGCCCTACGCCACTGTGCATGAGGCAGGTGGGGAAAAAAAGGGAGTGAGAAGTAGTGGAAAACAGGGAAGCACCTGCCCAGCCCGACAATAGTGCGGAAATATTAAATCTGCGCGTCAGGCGAAACGAGTTGAGAAGCCAAAAAAAAAGAAGAAAACAATTTCGAGGCAAGTGAAAATATTCTGACAACACAAAAGGGGGTGTGACGACTTTACCCTTAAAAGGGGCGTCTCAATATATATGTATAAATTGCAATAAACACGAATTGGGTCGTAAGTAAGCAGCAAACTTAAAACTGATTATGTATTGGATGGCTCGAAAGGTTGGGATGGGCGGAGATAATCAAATATGGCACCATCTGCCCTGCCGTTTTCATAATGGATCAGTTCTTCCCTCTTTTTTTTTTTATACAAATTTATAAACTGGGGAAATATGTATTTGATTGGGACAATCATTGCATATTGTTAAGTGGGGTTTGGCAAACAAAGGAGAAGGGTTGTCAAAAGTCTTGCAGATGTGGTAGTTTAACGGGGGTTTTTTCTATAATATTTAATATTTCCCTTTGATTAAAAAGCTAAGCTGGCTATATAACTCCTTTAAATGAGGCCAAGTTGGTCATTTACCATGATTCCCCCTTTCTTTATATTTTTTTTTCGCCACCCATCCATCCATCATGTGGCAAGGATTCCGCTTTGCAAAAATCGTTGCACCACCACTACCGCCAACAAAGTGTTGCCTACTTTTTTGGGGCCATGCACTTAAAGTCGCTTCAAGGCGCCGCCGTCGTCGTCGACGATGTTGTGTTGGGAAATTTCTGACAGGTCATAAATTGGCGCAACGGGCGGTCTTCCCCCATCCTCTTTGGAATGCCTTTGCCGCCAAGCGCCGCCAAATACACATACAACCCCCACCCACCCACTGAGAGATATATATTCTGATGACCAAATGTCGGCGTTGTTGTTGCTGCTGCCTGGTGCTTGCTGCTCGCCGGCAAACAAAACCAGACCAAACGAAATGAAAACGCATTCCCAACAACAGCTCTTGCACAAATACAAATACAAATAAAGGTGTGAAGCGGCACAGCAACAAGCAGCAGCAGCAGCAACAGCAACAAGCAGCAGCAACAGCAACAACAATGCCCCATAATAATAGCAAGTGGCATTCTGCCCGCCGCCTTCATTTACATATATACAACGTGTGTATTTTTTACAGTTAATGAAGCGACCAAGGACCAGGCACCAAAGTATGAAAAAACAACAGAAAAAAAAAGAAAATAGCCAAGCGGCAGCGGCCAAAGCAAACAAGGAATGTCCAGCTACAGAGAGAGAAAAGTTGTGGAAGAAATGTGTAGATTTTGAGATTTTTGGATTTTTGGATTTTTAGATTTTAAGATTTTTAAGATTATAAGATTTTAAAATTTTTAGATTTTAGGATTTTAAGATTTGTAAATTTTAAGATTTTTAGATTTTAAGATTTAAAGATTTAAAGATTTAAAGATTTTTGGATTTTAATATTTTAAGATTTTAAGATTTTAAAATTTCTGGATTTTTAAATTTTTAGATTTC